AAGAATAACTGAGAGATCTTTCTGTTATGCTATATTTTCTATATCCGTTATATTCTCTTTATCAAATGATATATACAAACAATATCTAAACTATTTTTGAGAGTATCTCGCTAACAAAAACATCCTTAGAAAAGAAACGAAAATGCTTACAAGTCTCATGAAGAACACTTATTGGAAATCAGAAGACCAATAAAGACGAGGATATAGACTACGTCATATTTCAATGAACTTTTCTTCTCAATATAGGTTCAAGTCTCCAAATCCCTTTCAGTCTTTTTTGCTGTTTCTGCATTAAACAAACTCATGATATAAGAACATTTAAACATGCAGTTTTCGAAGAATAAAAAAATCAAATTAAAGCCTTCATTGAGTTCAAACCTAATGAGAATAGGAATATATAAATATGAAGGATCTTATTTACAACATTACACCTTTGTAGAAGAATCACTATGTTGCTTGTAACACCCTGAAATTTACAAAACAATTTTTTTCATAAATTATTAATTCAATAAATTAGAATTTTTTTCTATCATTGAACCCTTATCATAGTAAAAAAATTTCTACCACGATACATCCAAGACAATATACCACAAGTCTTAAAATATCTAAAAAGTAATTAGAACCATAAGGGACAGACAGGATCCTCATGGCATGACATTCAAATCAGGTCATGAATCAAGAGGGACAGATATAATCCTCTTGGTCATATAAATGCATTTAATAAAAAAGTATTTGAGTTTACATACTCCACAAATAAGATATGTCCTAGGCTGGCACAAGATACATTGCATAATACAAAATAAGAGGTAACGTAAAAGATGATGTCTCATACACCAAAGTTACGCCTCTGGTGCTTTCTCTGCCGGACTCGCTCTTGTAAAAATGTTAACAACGGGAAATGAGACTTAAAAGTTCCAGTAACTAAAAATTAATATGTAATGATGCATGTCGATGTAACTAATCATGCGATTGCTAAGTGGGCACACAAAACATTTAACTGAATAATATTTTTAAACAAACTGAACAAGTATTTAATTGTATGACTACACCTTATACCCTTCTTTCGCTATGCTCGGATGCCAAATCACCCTACCAGAGGTGAGTTTGACCAAGCGACACGCCACTTATTGGGTCCAATGAGAGCTTACCACGTGGTAATAATTAATCGAACAGAAATTTCTAATAACACCATATATTAAAATACCCTGACAAATCATGCATTATTTAAATATTCAAACAAAAATATATCCGAACAATTATATCTCATCATGATAAATATTTAACCCACTTGGCAATAATTTCAAACAAGTATATAACAGTATTTATTTTCAATAATTCATAATTTTTTCAAACAATAAAACAACACATAACCAATCACAAACACACCCATCACAACACATTAATAATGGTTACCTTATGTCTTGAATAATAAGTTCCCCTTCACAACTCCTCTTTCACACCATTATTTTTGTCAATATAATCTACATAATTATTTCACAATACTATATATTAATTTTACATTGAAATTAATAAATTACTCTAAATTAAAGAGTTAGAAAGTCTTAGGCCTAAAATCCATATTAACACTAATTTAAGATTTATGCCTCATTTAACTTTTTAAATTCTTTTCTAAAATTCTCGTACCCTAATAAACTATTTTTAAGCCTCAAATTACTTCTAGTATCACAATTTCATCCATCTACATTCTAAAAATTTATTCAAAAATAAATTAAAAATTTTAGAATTATCCTGAAGCCTCAAATCACCTTTCTATAACCTCAAAAATACCTATTCATACTTAAATAAATATTTAATAATTAGAGGTTCATCACTACATCTCAGATTCAATATAAATTCAATCATATAGATCTAGAGTTTAATTCAAAAATTCTTAAACATGAGTTTTAATCTCAAGAAAATATTCTATTTATTATATCCCTAAGAACTTCAACCTATATTTTTAATCCATCATATCATCAGATTAACTATCCTATAGAAAAATCCTAATCAAAATCTTTGCTCTATTCTACAAAATAATCATATCATTAGAATGCTAATACTATTTATAAAATAACTATAAAATTAATTTTGTAATTAAATAATTTTTTAAATGCTAATCTAAACAGAAAAGTTGGAGCATATCTGAAGAAAAAGAAAATAATCCCCCCTTACGAGAACACGCCAAGCAACATGAGAGGAAGAGAGAAAAATAATATAAAAATAGGATTATGGGTCCCACAATTATATAAAAAAATATAAGTTTGAATTTAATTATTTAAACTCTTAGGCCAAAAGTTACAATTTTCTTCAAATTGTATCTTAACCCTTCATGCTTCCTAATGCACATACCCCCTCCTTTTTATACATAAAGGCACCTTTCTCTTCCCACATCTAACCAATGTGGGACTTAGAAACAACAACCTTCCACCCTCTTTTTTTGTTCCTTCTACTTTCTCTCTTTTTTTTAACACACACATAAAAAAATATTTATATATTATAAATCTTAAAATTATATCTTAACTAAATATTTCTTATGTGGTTTTAAATTTAAATTTTTAATTCATAATTAAATACCTAACCATAATATTATTTCTAAATAACCTCAAATAATATAAATTTCTATTATTATCATTTTTTTATCCTCAGTAAAACCTAATTCCATAATTTTTTTATTATGTAAAAAATCAGGATGTTACATTGCTTTCATCAATTAGTAGAACTGCACGCATCAAGTTGACACTACCTGCAACAAACCCATAATTAATAAGAATAAACTCAAACAGAGAATATTTTTTTAAAAATAGAAGTAAATAAACAGAAACTTGTCTATTGTACCTTCAAGTTAGATGATTGAATAATGTATGAGCCACAAGATATACAAGGAAGCATGTCTTAAGATGTGAGATTGATATCAGCTTCGGGGAATATGCATCGCTTCATGATTTTGAGACCAAGCGGATTGCTTCACTAATCTTTAAAATAATTGAATTGTAAATATAATGGACTACGTAAATGTGTTGATGAATTAATGCTTTGAGCCCCATCAAATATGTGTGTGTGTGTGTGTATTAGCCAGCTATGTTACTGTTATCAAATATTTACAATAATTTAAAATACACACGAGATTGTTGCTTCAACTTAATTCATGAAGTTGCAAATTATGATACTTTAGTTAGTTCTTAAAATGGGTACTTATAGTGATATAATTTCATTAGGAAAATAAGGTACTTGTAGTGATATAATTTCATTATGAAAATAAGGTACTTATAGTGATATAATTTCATTAGGAAAATAAGGGTACAAAGTCACAACCCACAGAACATATTAAATTATCGATAAGAAAAATGAAGTACAAGTAACATGGAAAATAGCTGTTACAATTATATATGTGTGTGTATGATCATTTGGGAATTTATCAAAATAATAAAAAGGATTAAAAACCTAATTTATCCTAGAAATTTTTTTAGAAGAGCAAGGCACTTGTAATGAAGGGTGGGGCAGTGTGCCCTTAAACAATTTTCTTAAGGATCAATATTATCCCTCCATTTAATACTTGTTAATTTGACCAACAGTTGGCCCAAAACGTCATAGAGAATGATCTAGAAAATTATAAAAAGGACCAAAAAATTATAGAAAAATATTTTTATAAGAACATTAATATTAATTAAGTCCCTTAAATTATAGATAACTTTCAATATAATAATATTATTTCTTATCTATATAAGACCAAAATATTACTTTAAGCAATCATTTTAATTGGCTACTAGGTTAGCATCATATCATCATTCTAGCAACAACACATATAAGTAATTAAAATATTATTTTTAAATAACATCTTAGTACAATATTAATACTTTAACATTTGGTAATTTAAATAATATTATAATTTACAAATATTCATTCACAATTTATAAGTTAACTTTTAAGACATGCAAGTGTCTGAACTTATTTATTTTGGAAGATGACTTGTAATTTATCATACTATTTTAGTTTACAAATTACCTATAAATTTCATAATTGTTTATATTTAAAAGATGATTTATGAAGGATTCAAGATTAAAGTGCATTTTTCCCTCTCAATTATTTGTTTAGAAGCATACTTCCAAAACTTACATGTGGTGCAATTTTTTCTTTTATATTAAAGATGGTGCACTGAGCACGTTACTGTTAAAAAATTTAACTCTGATCGTTAATTAGTTTATCCAAAAAATTATAAAAATTCTTTAGGTCCTTATCAAGATCATTAATTATACTGTATAATAATCCATACGCTTGGAAAATTCAATCTTTAGGAGTCATTTACTCAAGTCAGTCAGTGAATGAGATATGAAAAAGTAGCAGCACTGTGGAAAAGTAACGTACAAAACAATTTAGAAAATTAATGGTCCACGTAGGATTTATATATATTATTTGACAAGTTTCAAAATTGACGCAGCAATTACAATTAGAAAGTTTTTGACTTTACATTGCAAAGAGATAAGGTAAGGGCTGCTTTTTATGTGCTATTTAGACATTAAGAAATACCTTTGCATTCTTGGCACGAAAAGGGCCATTTGTTGTACTTTGATATATCTTCAAATGTTTCAGCAGCAATCCAATGCTCTAAATAACAAGGCACTCAATTAGAAAAAGCAAGCTCTTTAATATACATTCATAAAAATGCATTGAACCTCTTTACTATTTTACACACAAGTTAGTGTGAAACTGCAATTTTCTAATTAATCTATGAATCAGTTGAATATTCAATTGAGTTTTAACACTTTTTAATATAGTTTTGACATATGTTTTATGTGATCATCATCCTTGTTATACGATCACTGCACAGAATAAGCAAAGATTTGGAAGAAAGGAATTTAAATTTCTATTACAAAAGAATTCATAAAAAATCCTTTTTGTAAAGAAGCTTGTTGGCTTGATTGAAGAGTATATATTCCTTATTACTTTTTAAAATATAATCCTTTCGATGGTTTGAAATTTAAAAATAAAATAAAATAAGATCAAACGATAACACCATGACATGTAGAGGTTTGGATTCAAAAATTGAACCCTGCATCCTCTCCCCAAGCATAAAGCCTGGAAATTTGAAAAGTAACGGACAATCACGATACAATACACAATGTACAAGTCTTTATGAACTTATCCGAAAACAATTTTAGAGAAGAAAACAAAATGTTCATGAGTATGATCAGAAGCTTAGTGAACAAGAGTGAACAAGAGGACATAGACTCTATCGGATTTCATTGACATTTTCTCCTCAGTACAGATTCAAGTTTGCAAATCCCTTTCTGTCCTTTTTGCTGCTGCAACATTTTAAATAAACCCATAATAAGAATATTTAAACAAGCAGATTATGAGAGAATGAAGAAATCAAAAGCTTTTTGGTTGAGTTCAAACCTCATTAGAATAAGAATATATGAAGGATCTTAACGACAACATCACATCTTGTCAAGAAGAAGCACTATATGTTGTTTTCATCAATTAGAACTAGGTCATATCAAGATGGACACCGCCTGCAATGAACCCATAATTAATAAGAATTACAGAATAAGAAATCTCAAATAGAAAACAAAATACATAAATAAAAACTTCTCTAGAATGTAGCTTCAATATGATTGAATAATTTTGAGACCAAGCGAATTACTTTACTAATATTTAGAGAAATGAAATTGTTAATATAATTGACTATGTAAATGTGTTATATCTTTTATTATATAAAGAATTAATGCTTTGAGCCACATCAATATATATATATATATATATATATATTGCCAGCAATGTTGTCAAATAATTTAAAATAAACACGAGATTGTTACCTCAATTTTATTCATGAAGTAGCAAATTATTATAGTTTATATATATGTATATAGTTTAGTTCTAAAAATGCACACGTGCTTATAGTCATTTAATTTAAAATAATTGGGAATTTTCATAAAACTTAAAATTTAAAGTTGCAATATTGGAACAAGGGAGTGAGAATAAGTACCCATATGGATAACTGTATCTTAGCTGCGCTGGAATACTTATGCATCGATGAGTGGGATGTGGGATATGCGGCGCATAAGATCTTCATCCTTCTTCTGGTATTTTTCTTTAAGCAGCGGATAATACTTAATGCGAAGCTTTCTTAAAGAAGAAGGCAGCTTTTCTCCTGACATTTTCTCCAGCTTGGGACAATCCATGATGTCGAGTTGTTGGAGGGAGGTTAGGTGCTCAAGTCCTGTGCAATCCAACGTCTCCAAGTCGTGGAAGGAGTCGAGCTCCAGAGTGGTGAGAGTGGCTGGAAGAGAAAAGCCCTCCGGGAAACACTTGACATTATTACCCTCAATACGAAGGTAAGTAATATTAGTTAGGAGGTGCCACTCTGCTTGATGGGATAATAGCTTGTTATACCATTCAATATGAAGTTCCCTCAAACTTGGCACAAGGATCCCCTCTGGAAATGCTTCCATCTCTCCACAATTATGTATTTGTAGCTGTTTTAAATTTGGGAGAAGACCTTCCATGTCATCCGACATAAACTTCACAATATTACAACCCCACGTAATAGCTATAGATTGGAGATTTTGTAGAGGAGCAGTTGAACTCAACACAAAATCGACACTCTGACAGTTGCGTATCTCTAACCGTTGTAGTGATGGAGGCAAATGAATCATGGGAGGTGATGTATAGGAGCATTCCCCAATACTTAATTCTTGAAGATGCAAATGGTTAGAGAGTGCCTCCAACATTGATTCCGACATCCGACATCCTGTGATTTCTAGCCTCCTTAGGGAAGGAGGTAACTCTTTCTCTAGCCACCCCATATTTCCACATCCCCATATCAATAAATCCTGAATTTCAGGACACTCGGGATACAAGAAGTCAGCAATGGACAAAATTTGATCTGTAGAGTTTTTAAAGAAAGCAATTGGCCAGGCAAATTTCCAACTAATTCGGGGCAATAATCTATTTTGAGTTGTTGGAGTTTAGGGAAAGCTTCCGTGTCAATGGAATGCCATTCTTTCCACGAAGTCATCGTTCTAAACTCAAGACATTCAAGAGACGGAAAAGGTATCATGGGAGCACATTCATTGGCCTTCAACAACTCTTCACCAATCTTCTCAATACTTTCTAATCCTCCAATATATAATGTCTTCAGAGCCGGGAGCTGCCCAAGGGGGGGAAGCATGCAACAGTTTTTGCAATTCTCCAGTCGCAACCAAGTCACGTTGTGGTAGCAAGGACTCCCCAACCAATCCGAAAATGTTGTGCCCCTATACCTCTCTATTTCCAATGCTTCTAAATCCCAATGAGGCTGAAGCTTGTCCAAAATATCTCTCTCTCTTGCTGTATCGTCCACGCCGTCATCCTTTGACCATGATAATGTTAGATCCTTGATGTGCTTCTTCTCTATCATCCTCGCTTCATAGGCTTCATTTCCATTCTTGACATTCTCTAATTTATTAATTGCAACCCCACCCTTTAAATTTGTCATTGCTCCCAATTTTCCAATATTGATCCCTTGCTCTTTTCCAACAACAAAGTCACCTAAAATTTGCAATTTTTTTAACTTGCCTAATCCCCTCGGTATCTCTTTCAAACCAGTCTTTCTAACATCAAGATGCCGCAAGTTTACAAGATCTTGTGTATCACTTGGCAACATCTGCAGACACCAACAATATTCTAACTTCAATGTTTGTAGATTGTATAATTTGCACAATGAGTTAGGCAAACTTACAATCGTGCCTGAAAAGGACAGATCCAAATGGCGTAGATTTACAAGATCTTGCATGTCATCTGGCAGCATCTTAAGATGCGATCCACACAACATCAACGTCTGTAAATTATACATCTTACATATTGACCGAGGCAAGCTTTCAATACTTGTCCATGATAGATCCAAATAGCGCAAATGGATGAATTCTCCAAAAAACTCAGGAACCACCACTAATGCACGCAGACCTTGAAGTGACAACATTCGCAAGCACTTCATATTTGATGGTAGAATATGAGGAGCATTTCCAGCAGACTCAGGAATATTGAAAATTTCCAATCCTATAAATGTTCGTAAGGATTTTATTTTTTTGAAAAACTCATGGTCCAAGCATGCATGATTCTGATAGTTGCATGACAAATGGCGTGTCTTTTTGTCAATTTTGCTTCCATTCTTCCCTAATCGAAAGTAGAAGTCTCCAGCAACGTGAGTCGCTAATTCATGAATGAGATCATGCATGACAAACAGCTCATTTCTTTCTTTCAACCTATCGTAAGAGTACTCATCATTTGGTAAGGGTTGAAAAAATGACCTCGAAGTTAAATCATCAAAGTACCCATTACCAGCTTCTTCTAAAGTCATGTTCCCCTTTGGCGATTGCAAAAAACCTTCCGCCATCCACATCAAGATTAATTGCTCCTTACGAAATGTATAATCCTCTGGGAACAGAGAACAATACGCAAAGCATTGTTTTAAATGAGGAGGGAGATAATAATAACTAACTCTTAAGGCAGGAATGATCTCGTTGTCCGATGAATCCCACATGACATTTTTCAATATATTGTTCCAATCTTCGGAGTCAGGTTTTGATCGAAATACTCCCCCGAGTACTTTTGCAGCTAAAGGCAATCCTTTACACTTGCCAGCAACATCGCTCCCAATTTTTTATAAGCATTTCACATTTGAATCGCTAGAATGGAAAGCATGTGTAGCAAAAATTGACAAACAATCTTCAGCAGACAAGACATTGAGGCGATAAAATGATGAGATGGTTTTAGCCATTAAAGCAACACTCTCACGGCGAGTTGTAACAAGAATTTTGCATCCTTCCCCTCCATTCTGAAGCAAATTCTTCAAAGTATCCCAATCAGTGATTTTGTCATTCCAAACATCATCAAGAACAACCAAAAACTTTTTCCTTTCTAACTTTTGGCCAAATGATGTCGAAGAAGATTTAAATCCATATTATCACAAACAAAATTAGGATTGATGGATTTAATTATAGACTGTGCTATTTTCAAATGATCAAATACTTCAGAAACGCAAACCCATGCAGTAAGATCAAATTTTTGCTTCACATCATTATCATTATAAACCAGCTGGGCTAAGGTGGTCTTCCCAACCCCGCCCATGCCCACGATAGAGATTGCAGACAAACTGATCACCATCATCATCATCGAACAGAAGCTTAATTAGATCTTCTTTTTCTTTCTCCCTTCCATAAATACCAGAGACTTTCACATGAGACGTAACTGGAGGCCTCCATGACAAAGTTTCTTTTCCACTTATCTTCTTCAAATCAAGGGCATCTTTCTTTCCCCAATACTTTCAATTCTATCAGTCATATCCTCTAACTTATTTGCCAGGCTCGTATCATGCAAACTAAGAGAAGCAAAGGAGAAACAGGGCACCTTTTTCTGTGTGGCAGCTCGTGTGGAAATCTCATCCATCAAGTCTTCCAGGTCATAAGCAGCATCTTTGAGTTCATCAAGCCAGTCTTTGACAGCAGGATCGGTGAGTTGTTTGAGTTCAGCATCATTGAGCACGGCTCTTGCAACAATCAGGGATGGCTTCAAACGCTGAAGGAGCTTGTTGTCGAGCTTCTTTCCACAAATCAAGTTGATCAAGCCAGCTTGGTCAGGTGTTAACCTCTCCAAAAGCACATTGAAGACAGCAGAAGAAAAAGTGCTTCGGCCATGATCTCTTTGGGAATGAGTGATATTGCTCAAAACATGAAAGTTCAACAGCAGAGAAGATGAGATCAATGCAGGTGGGGCGTGCTTTATATGATTTGAAAGGTGGTGGAAGATATTGTTGTACATTACCAAAACGGTAAGTATTTGACAACTAGGTCTATTAACATTAATGTTAAAAATGTAGAATTTACAGCAAATTAAACAATCAGTAGATCATGAATGATGTCATTCATTTGTTTGAGTATATATTCAAGTCATCGATTCAAATAATACAAATTTGGAATTGAAATTGAAAATAAAATATTTTAAATTTTAAATATAACTATCAATTTATAATTGAAATTTTTATTTATAACATTATGAATTAATTTATGTAATTTATGTTTTAAAAATTTATCTAAAACTTAGTACTCTTCTGTTAAAAAATATATGGCATTTTAACTGAATCTCACCTCAATAAAGTAATGCTTACTGTCAAACTAACTTTATCTTTTTATATTTATCTCTATTGAATACTTTATAATAAATATAAAATAAAGATTTTTTTTAAAAAAATAATAATTATATCTCAAAAAATTTAAAAAAAGCAATAAATTGATGAGTTGCTCACTTCCTGTTCTTCATTGAGAGAGAGAGAGAGAGAGAGAGGTTGAATGTTGAAGAAGGGAGGTGAATTAGCATATAAGACAATGTGAACAGTAAAAATAAAGATGCCTGACCCCAGATCTTAGCCTTATGTACATGATTTTATTTTTTTTATTTAGATAATTTGAAATATAATAGTCTTATTAATATATTTATATTATAATTTATTTTTTTAAAATTTGTAAATGTCAAAATAGCCATAAAAATATATACAACCAAATTGAGATTTTTGAAATTATAGCTCATATTATAGGATCAAACCAAATAAATAGCCTCATATTTATTATATTTTATATTATGGTCAATTTATTATACTTGTTAACGACATGCCATTGTATATCAATAATAATTTCTTATAAATTTTTAAATTTTTAATGATAAACACTTTATATATTAATGTGAATTAATCATACTCTCAAGCTTTCAAAAATTTGGTCCATATTTTTTGCATACAAGATATTGTTGGCCAGCGAGCCACTTTATCCCAACAGACCTTTAAATTCTTCTCCCACCAACTTATAGATCATATCAATTGAATATTTATATTTTATAAATTTATTTTAGCTTTTATAATTGAATATTTTAGATTTTTTACTTATCAATTGTAATTTAAATAATTGAATATTTAAATTTTTTACTTATTAATTATAATTTTAAGTTTAATATTTTTTACTTATTAATTAGTTAAAAAATATATACAAAAGATTTTATGTTTATTTTTATCATTAAAGATCTCAACTAACTTTTAAATCAAATCATCCAAACAAATTTCAGTTTATCTAACTAATTTAAAAAAATATATCCAAATAAAATCACGTTACATTCACTGATTTTTTCTTTAACTTCAGTTAAATTCTAACTTCAGTTAAAATTTTTAATCCAAATACACACTAAATATATTATGGTGAATTTGTTGAAGGAAAAATTAAGTTGTAGGTCTTTTATGATACTTTTCTATTTTAAATTGTGTCTAAGACTCTAAGTAGTTTATTTGTTTGAACATATGCTAATCCATTAAAATTAAAATCCATCAACTTTTTCGATAAAAAAAAAATAAACTCTACAGTTTTATATTTTTCGGCCAAAAAACACTTTCATATGTTCATTAAAATATTATATAAAATTAATTATAAAATTTTTATAACTCAAAATTTATATAATTAGGTTAAGTCTTTCGAAAAATTTATACATTTAAAAAATTAATAAAAAAATAAAAATTGTATTGAATGATTTTTTATTTTGGCCGAAAGTATTAAATTAAATTTTAAAAATATTAAAAGCAATTTTATTTTGAGAAAAATAATCATTCAGTAATAATATTATACTCAATGATTACTATATGTAATAGATCACACTAAAAGGATTAATTAAAAATGGCTACTTATTAATTAAAAATAATTATTTAGTAATTAAAAAATAAAAAGCTAAAAATTATTTTTCAATTAATCTCCTAATCTAGTTTTAATAGTATTAAATTGCTTTTTGCTTGTAGGACACAATCCGATTCAAGAAAGGTCAGGGCTAATTATTTTGTAGAACATATTTTAAAAATAAAAAAGTAATAAAAATATATATTTTTATTTTTTATTTTTCAGAACAATAATTTTAAAATATCTAAAATTTATTTTTATTTTTCTATTGTCTAGAAAAATATTTCATTTTTTACAAAACATTTTTTGAAAAAAATTGTTACCAAATAACTTTTTTTATTCTCTTGTTCTAAAAAAAAAAAAACTATTCTCAAAACAAATTTTCAAACAAGCCTACGTCCCTCTTTCATCCTTCTTCTCCTTCTCTTCTCCTCATCTCTCACTCTTTACCTCTGGTTAAAAAATAAAGGATTCAGATTTAATTATTTTATAAAATAATCATCATAATATCATATTAAAAAATAAATAAATTATTTTAAACTATTAAAATTTAATCTAAATAGTTTAACTGCAATAAAAAATAAAAAATTAATTTATATTTATAAATCTGTTGGTCCACAATTTGCCACATTATAAGGATTTAAAAAAGAAAAATGACAGTAAACTTTCCCCAAAAAAAAATTGATGATGGCTATATCGTGGCAAAAATCTTGAAAAACATTAGGTTGTAAAAGTTTATTCATGCAATTGTAATCACGATTGAAAAACTTGGGAGTATTGCCAAGGGTAGAGCCAAGGATTACAATCAGGGGTTTGAGATCACAGGCTACATGTTCCATTCGTATATAAAATATTTTTAATTAAATTTTATTTTTTTAATAAATAATTATTTACTGTTTAATTAATTTTTTTTTATATTTACCCTTATTAAATATCGTATATAAAAATAAAATTATTATCAATAGAGACACTTTAAAAAAACAATAATTACATTTGAAAAGACTAAAAATACCTTACACTTTTGAACGAAAGGAATACTATCTTTGGGGAAAAAAAGATAAATGTCAACATATAACTAACCTAATATAAGTAGAAAAAATGATAATAAAATCTACTCAAGATATATAAATAATGATCAGGTATCTTAAAATGATTTAATTTTTTTAAAATTTTAAGGTACCTTTTTAACATTAATAATTTTATGTTAAATGACTCAATTATCTCTTATTTAAAATAAAAATAATAAATTTATTCTTTTTACAAAATACTCTCTTTATCTCAAATTATATAATAATGTTAAAGAAATTTATTGTCTCAAAATATGAGACAATTTAATAAATATAAGATTTATAAATAATAATTTTTTAAAATTATTAAGTGGAGAAAAAATTAAAGTAATTAGAAATATAAAATTATATTACATAAAAAATATTTCTCAAATTTATATTTTTATTTTAAAAAAATTTATAAAATGTTATTATTAAATTTTGTCGATAAACATAATAATTTTGAGACTCAGGGTAAACGATAACAAGAATCCATGTTGATTTATCACATATACTGACAGATATGTTTTCAATGTGTGTAAAGAGAAAGGACCACTTATGCTCAGACTGGAAAATAAAAAATTCTTAAAAGTATAAAATAAAATAATATTTAGATTTGGCGCTGAAACAAAATCCTTGAATAGTGGGTTGGACGGTGGCAGAGCGGAAGACGTGACATGGTAGATTTGTAAAACGAGGCACCTGTGTACTGGCACTGGCTCATTGTGGAAAAGTGGGGCCACAAGAAAAGAGGCAAGGGGGAAAAAAAAAAAGACGCGTGGAAATGATGCTCCCCCGTCAATTTTTAGGAAATTTTGTTATTTTAAAATACTCCCCCGTCAGCTTCAAAGATATGTGAAACATTTAGAAGATGCGTTCGCGGAAAAATTTATTTCGAAGAAACCTCTCAAAATGTCAACATTATTTTTGTAGTACCTTATAAATCACCAACAACATGAGGTTTTAATTTAACAGTAATCTCTTAAGTCATGATTGCAAAAGCTAAAGGTACATTAGATACTTTCAGAAATAGTCTGGATCTGTCTTGATATTGATAGGACTATCAACTCCATCTAAACTGCTATTTATAGTGGAATCATACAAGACAATAAAGGTAATTAGATCAAAAAAATTTTCAATTACCTCGATTATCATCCAAGCACAATAATAGAACTATTAGGCATTTTAGAAGGACTACAGCTTTGTTAGATTGCCCATTTTGACAAAATCAACATATGCTCTAATTCTGTGGAAGCACTCTCGTTTATCCACATAATTTTTTTGATAAGCATCCTCTCTCTGGAATTATCAACAGAGTTAGAACTTTAGTTATGAAAGATTGGATTATTACCTTCAAACACATGTTTAGAGAAGTAAACAGATGTGCGGACAAGCTCGTTCACATAGCCTCTCAGGT